AAGTTGTTATTGGTCAACTACTCAAACAATTTTTTAATTGAGTTTAACAGGTTGTTGATTAGCTGATTATAAATACTAATTTTTGGTATGCAGCTCTTTTGTATTGTTGATTGAGAACTTTAGTTATCAATTAAAAGAATTTGATTTGAACACTACAGGAAAAACGCGTCAAATACCGGGCGTTTAGGAAGGCAAACCGGTTGTTTTAAAATTATACCGGCGGTTTTTGTTTGAACCGCCAGAAATATTGGTGTAGGAAACTTTTACCGGCGCTTATTACCGGCGGTTGATTTAGGCGGCGGTTTTCCGGCGGTGGATGCCGCCGGTGACTACCAGATTTGTACGGCGTTCTCCGGCCTTTTATATGATTTTTCTTCCCTCGCATTATTTTTTTCCCCTATAAATTTTAGAAAAAAATATCTTCTCATGTGACTGTCTGATAGAAAATTATGCTTTTAAATTTTCTTCTAAATTTTTTCAGTATAAATCATTTGTGGCCCCCATCTTGAAATTCTATTTGGATATTTTCTCTTGTCCTTACAACTCAATTTTTATTTTATTTAATTGTGCTAAGGATCTCAATTTTGTTAAAAAAAATTTAATAATTGCTTATTTATATAATATATTTTAATTGGTTATTTATATATTATAATTATTTAAAAATAAATTTAATAATTTTAAAATTCACCATCATTAATTTTTATCAAGATATTATGATATAAAATTAAAAAAAAAAAACATAGAGAGGGGAGAAGGTGACAGCTGGTGTTGAGCAAATTCAATAGATTATGACTAACGTAGAAAAATAGGGTGCATGAGATAAGGCTATGATTATGATCGTTCTAATTTGACTTTTTTAGCGGCGCATAAAAGTAAAATGTAGGAAATTTAAAAAAGTCCAGATAAATTCTCATATTTCCATTTGAACCTATTCATACAAATTCTATGACAGTTATATTTTTAAAGTTTTAATTGTAACACGTTTTAAATGAAATTTTATTCATCTGGGTTTAGTTTGAGCTATAGACCGACATTAGATATTTCAGATTTTAATTAGGATTTTATTGTTATATATTATAATAAAGTTTTATATATTTGTTTGTTATATCACTTTGTGCTTTATAATCATTAATATATTACCCTATGTTATCAACCTCCTTAATTATAAACATTCAAATTATTGAGAATAGGGATGTAAATGAGTCGAGTTGAGTTGAACCAAGTCGAACTCAAGTGAACCCTAAGTTGAGCTTGATTAATTGATCAAGCTTTAGCTCATTCTCCGTTGGTTGGTTGAGCCCTTTCCTCTGTTTGTTTGTAGATGGTTAGGTTTGTTGTGGTTGGAAGGTTGTTGTTGTGGATTCCTTGCCTTTTCCCTATTGTTGTTTTCCTGCTTCTATTGCCTTATTGTTTATCTAGGTGCTTGCCGGGAACTTGATGTTGGAGGTTCTCTTGGGGTTGTGGGCTGTGTTCAGATGTTCATGTAGATTTTAATGTCTCTCCTACCTTGTGCTAGTTTTTCTCAGTTGGGCTACTTGTTGACTCTTTGTGGTTTTCTTGTTTTTATTTGTGTTTGTTTTATTGTTGTATTAGTTGGATCATAGGCTTATTAGGTTTTGCTTCAAATGCTTTATTTTTAGATAGCTATTGATCCCTTAAGTACTTATAAAGATTTTATTTTTATTAACATGTAGGCCCCTCCATGAATTTTAGCAAAAGAAAAAAACCATTAGCTCAAGACTAATTCTATGATTTTGAGTAGACTCATGAGCTAGCTTATAATAAAAAAGATAAATTAATTATGATTCAAATAATTATTATAATAAAACAATAAAAAATTAAAAAATAAAAAATAAATAACAAATAGTCCTTCAAATAAAAAAGTGATATATAATATTTAATATTTTTTATAGGTAAACTCTTGAATTCTAATATAATTTATTGTTTTATTTTAATAAATTTTAAATGAGCTAATTTGAGAACTAACGAGTTGAGCCAAGACTGGCTCAAACTAGGCTTGTTAGCTTATCAAGCCTAGCTTACAAGTCATTTATCGACCCAAGCTCGAGCCAACTCACGAGTTGATTTGATTCACTTGCACTCCTAATTGGAGATTTAGAAATCATTATATTAGAACTTTTTTTAACTATATTTTTAAGAATTAGAATAAATTAACTCATACAAAGTTAAAATCTAATACCAAAACCTTATCATAAAGAAATAAGAATGACAAGAAGATATATTCATCATTGAATATAATAGTATAAATGCATAATATACACAAATAAATACATTATTTTGCGATAATATATTATTTGGATAATATTTATTGCCATATACTTAATTAGTATCTATGCTCTCACACTTGTGACATCCAATTAGTTCCATGACACATCACATTAAATTTGAAGTTGAATTCATATTTATTTATATTTACTCAAACTCAACTACTCCCATCGCATTTACTTTTGATTTGAATTCAAATCCCTTCACCCATTCTTCAACTCCTTAATAAATAATAGCTAATCTACAGTTTTCAAAGATCCTCCATCATTTATTGTTTACAAAGGGAATTTTTATTAGGTAAGGACACCTGATATAGCTCTACATCCGGACGTCAATAAAATATCGTCATGTGCTCTTATTCTTTACCCCACGGCCCGACGACCCGGCCCGGACTGGAACCCGGTATTGCTATATATTAGCTGATTTGTGCAGACCAGTGTATTGCTAGGTATTGCTCGGTATTGCTCGGTAATGAGAAATATCATTCTGTCAAGGTCAATACCTAACAATACCGAGCAATACCCCGGTTTTGCTAAGTATTGCTCGGTATTCTTGGTATTGGTCTTGAAAGAGAGATATTTCTCGCTATTGCCAAGCAATACCGAGCAATACCTAACAATACCTAGCAATACACGAACATAGCAATACCGGATTCCGGCCTGGGTCCGGACGTCGGGTCGCGCGGTAAAGAGCAAGAGCATGTGGCGACATTTTATTGGGGTCCGGATGTAGAGCTACGTCAGGTGTCCTGACCTAATAAAAGTTCCTACAAATGGCATCTCCAACCGAAAAACTCATTTTCCAGAGAGATTATTCAGTGCGATCTCTGAACACGTTCAGACATCAATCCAGGCCCACCACATGGGTGACGTGGCGCACCCGGATTGGCGTCCAGGCACCGCACAAAATAATTTTTCATTTTACACTTTAAAATACAATAACACTCCAAAATACAGTAATTTATCTCCAAGACTCCAACAGATTGAACTCCATTTCTTAACAAAAAAAAATTGTATATATTCTTTCTCATTTTTTTATATTTATTTTCTATAACAAAATTGGCATCAGTGAACAGTGCGACGTAAATATTGGAGTTGCACTGTTCACCTCCAAAATTTTGACATATAATTTAGCATTTGAATGGAGTAAATGGCGGATGAAATATCACCGTTGGTTGAAGATGAACTAACATGATTTCTTTGCCGCTTCCAGTCACCTCAATCAATTCCCTAGCTTTCTTCTCGTCCTCAAAGTGTTCCTGGTTTGGGATCTTCTCAGCTGCCACATAAATTCTCCCAAGAGTCCTCTTCTGAGCTTCCAAATTAGCTTGATTGATAGCTACATCACCGAGGTGATTGATCTCCTAATCAACTCATTTTAGGAGAAAGATTGTGCTGTTTTTCTTCAATAGCTCGCCAATTGTGAGTTGTTTAGTCCCCCCTCATTTCATGAGAGGGAGGGAGAATTACGCAAGACCTCAGATTTTTTTTTCTCTTTCTAGATTTTCACATGAAATATTATTGTGACCCTATGATTGCTTGTGAAGCATCGTTTGAAGTTAATACAAGCTTTCTTAACTAATTGGTAATAATAGACATATCAATCACAGAAAGAGTGCAATAATAGCTCTACTGTTGCAGGAGCTATTACTTATGTTCAAACATAAGGTGGTTTGATAAGTATTTTTCTATTTTGGTTGGATTACATCAAGGATCAGCCTTAAGCCCATATCTTTTTGCTTTAGTCATGGATGTTTTCACTAGACATTTGCATGAGGATGTACCTTTGTGTATGTTTTTTGCTGATGATATTCTTCTTGTTGATAAGACAAGAGAGGGAGTTGAAGGTAAACTTAAATTATGAAAGTCAATCTTCGAGTTTAAAGTTTTTTGCTCGAGTACATCTAAAACAGAATATATATAGAGTGTAATTTTAGTAGTAATGGATCTAATGCGGGGATTGTGACTTTGGGCGATCTAGTCATTAATAAGTATACATGTTTTAGATATCTTGGATCTATTGGTCAGAGTGATGGTGAAATAGATGGGGATATTATCAGTAGAATTCAAGTTGGATGGTTGAAGTGAACGAATGCATCGGGCTTGTTGTGTGATAGAAAAGTCCCCCTCAAACTTAAGGGAAAATTCTATAAGATGGTGGTGAGACCTGCAATGCTTTATGGTGCCAAATGTTGGCCATTAAAAGAGAAGCATAATACTAAGTTAAGTGTTGCAGAGATGAGGATGCCCAGATAGATGAGTGGCTTTACCCTTAGAGATAGAATACGAAATGAGTATATACGTGAAAATGTTGGAATAGCTCCAATGGAAGATAAGATTAGAGAGAGTCGCCTTAGATGGTTTGGTCACATAAAACGATGGCCTCCCGATGACCCGATTAGGAAAGTAGAGGTAATAGATTTAACTAACCTTAAAAAAGATAGATGTAGACCTAAAAAACTTGGTTAGAAAATATTAGAAATGATCTTTCTTTGTCAAATTTACATGAGAATTTGACTTCTAACATGACACAATGAAAAAAAATGATTCATGTAGCCAACCCCACGTAACGGGACAAAGGCTTCTTGTTGTTGTTGTTGCTGCCGCGGCCTTACTGATACTACTACAAGATTAAAGTTGATTCTACATTGTAAAAAAATCTCTAATAAAGTTGCTAAGAGATCAGAGAAAGACTAGCTAATCAACAATAAATCATGAATTGAAAAATAAATAAAATTATGTATTCGTTTAGAATGATAGATTACATTGTCTTTGAACTATAATAATTGAATTGAATAACTTAATTTCCAACTTTACAGTAAAGTCAATCTTGTCTTTCTCTGAGCTTATCTGGTAGCCAGAGTTGCCTCAATAATGAAAAGAATGAAGAATAAGCTCAAGATCATCTGTAAAACTCTACACTTGTTCACTTACTAATATATTTATTTACACAAAAGACCTCCATATTTTTCCCTCCAAGGAGATCACAATTACTGAAACATCATCATGATATCGCCTTCGATCCCCTTGCGGTATCTCAAGCAATTCATGGAAGTCCATCCCTGCAAGCAAAAAATTATAAGCTTCTTTTTCATTTCCTTCCCAATAGTTCAGACTAAGGCTTAGTTTGAGACGATTTTTTTACTACTTTTAAAAGCAACTTTTTAATACAAAAAATTTAAATTATGTACTAGAAAGCTGCTTTAAGAAGCAGTAAGAAAGCCGTCCCAATAGTTCAGACTAAGGCTTCGTTTGGGACGACTTTCTTACTGCTTCTTAAAGCAACTTTCTAATAGAAAAAAATTAATTTTTGTACTGAAAAGATTTTTTAAGATGCATTAAGAAAGCCGTCCCAAACGAAACCTAAGTCTCAAGTTTTTCAATTAATTGTTACTATTTCAATAAAAAACTAGTTTACCTGCTTTCTTTGCAGCACGAAAGAGGACTTCTTCAACAAGATGCTGTGCAGGATCACCTTCAGGAGTTGTTGAAATGAACAGGTCTACTTCTGTGACTACCTCATCATTGGTCAAGTACTGGTAGAGACCATCAGAGGATAATATCAAGAATTTATCTCTTGCGCTGAGCTTGTAGTGATATAGAGATGGATTGCATGTTATGTATGGAGAAGTGCCAATATAGTCTATTCTGAACATTTTGAGAAGAGCATCATTCCATTTAGGCTGAGGAAAACAAAAATTAGGAAGTGAGAATAAGGGCTTATTTTATTGCAAAGAAAATACTATCAAAGCTTTTTATGTTAGAAGAGTGGAACACTGAAGGCTCAAGTTGAGCCTAATTCATTAATTGATAAATCCATATGCTTATTTCACTTTCTATATGAGACTATTTCACTCTCTATGTGCATCTTAGCACAATCATTAAAACTATTGAAGTTAAATATAAATCTTTGACAATCAAAGCAATAATTTGAAAGGAAAAAGTTCTCCAGGAAGCTGTTCAACCTTCCTTGCCTTCCAAAACATTCTCTAAGCAAACAATTTAGTGCAAGTCACTCCACCAAATTGTTTAATCCTACCATCAACTTAAACAAAGGAAAATCCTTATTCCTCCATCAACATGAAGCTAAATCTAAATCCTTTACTTCAGGGATAAGCCATTGAAATTAAACTGCAGATCTAATTGTTAACCTCAAGCAACCAAAGGTGAATTAGGGCCGTTTGGTTTGTTGTATTAGTGGTGTAAAGTATTCCGAATATAGGAGTTTTGAAAATATTGATATTTGGATTGAACTACAAGGAACACAGAGTAAAATTTAGAGTAAATGGAATTCATCATCTAGTTCAAATCTAGTGTATTTGGAATCCTCAGATTTGGGCGATCTCCAAATACATCTTAAACTCACCAACATTGGCCGCCACCTCCGCTGTCTCCTACCGACCACCGCCATCCACCCGACAGCCACCTATCAACTGCTGACCACCACAGGCCGCCGCCGCCTGCTGACCACTGACGGCCACCCGCCGGCCGCTGCCATCCACCCCTGCTACAACCTTTTTACTACATTCCATTTATTTTTAATTCAAACCAAACATAAAAAATGATCTCATGCATCCCTTTTACATTCAATCATTCAATTAACTCCAAAGTATTCCTTTTTAACTATTTTTTTACACTATATTCCTTTAATGTTTTTGAGTCAATCAAATAGCCCCTAAATTTCTTTATAGTAACCTACAGGGAATCCAATCCTTTTTTTTTTTTTTTTTTTGCATTTTTTTTTTTTTTTTTTTTTTTTTTTTTTGGTTTGGGGGTGGGGGGGGGGGGGTTAATCCAATCCCTGTTAAATGATATGTTAAAACATATGAGCTGTAAATCATAGCAGATAAGAGTAAACGCATTCTTCAAAGAATCACTAGTACTGAAAGTCTGAAACAAAACTAAGCTTACCTGTTTCAGAAATCCGGCGCCAAAGGCTCTTGTAACTTTCAGATAACCCTTCACACGATCATTAGCAATGGCTGAAGCATCGTCTTGATGTTCTTTCTTTATTCTGCGAACTTCCTGAATCACAAATAAAATAACCAATATCATTTAGATGAAGCAAGAACTTACTAAAAAGAAAAGAGAAGAACTGATCATTACATGTTCAACACAAGTGCTATGATCCATAGTAAGTTGCAGAGCAGACAAAGTACGCAGATCAACCATCCTTTCTCCATAATCATTCAAAGCATCGTCAATGATGATTCCCTCTTCTTCAGAGCTAGTCCTCGCTAAAACTGCTCGGCTATCTCCAACGTTCATCAAATACACATCTTTACCTCTCATCAGCATTACAAGCACGCAAGAACCCATCAGCGCAAGCTCGGGATTCTCGGCCATCATTTTGTCGGCTACCTCCAAATACTTATCCTCTGTTTTCCTCAGAGCACGAGAAAGAGCCTTTAGAATTTGGGCATGTTCTACTTCCAAAATGTTCCCTTTTTTACCATTGAGTTGGAAGCAATCATCGGAAAATTCGCGGCTTTCTACGCAAAGCAAGCCGTTGAGCTCGCGCTTGATGGCGGGGTAGAGATTGGATAGGAGGTAGTCGGTGGCGTCTGGGCCGTTGAAGCCATCGTAGATGCCGACGAAGACCCAGCCGCGGGACACGACCACGTGAACGCGGTCTTCGCCTGCTTTTCCCTGGGCCCAATGGCTGTCCGGCTCGCCGGTGGAGGCAGAGGCGTCCTCGACGCTGCTGCTGGTGTCGACGGAGTCGGAGTCCTTGGGAGCGACGGTGGATACTCGAGGGGCTGCACCGATGGCTCGGGAGATGCGGCGGAGGAGCGAAGAGGCGGAGTAGCGGGAGCGACGGAGGGTGGTATGGGCGGGTTTGTCGAGGGGGCCGGAAAGGAAAGAACGCTCGATGGGGCCGGAGAGGAAGCCACGGTCGGAGAGGGGACCGGAGAAGCGGGGAACGGGTTGAAGGGGAACGGAGAAGAAGGAGGTGGAGCTTTCGAAGGCGGCTGCGGAAGCGAAGGAGGAGGCGGTAGTGATGGAGGAGGGGTCGGTGGAGAGCGCGGTGGCGGCGTTTGCGCTGACAGCGGCGCCAGAGATGGAGTGGAAGATGGTGGGATCGTCGTTGGAGGAGGAAGGCAAGAGGCAGAGGTCGGGGCGGACGTAGCAGAAGGAGTGCCCGAGACCTTCGTCGTGAGGCTCCGAAGCCGACGGTGTGGCGGCGCAGGCGGCTGGGTAGAAGCAGTGGGTCAGCTTTGCCAAGCCGTTGCCCATGGAGGAGGAGAGCGAGTTGGACGAGAACAGGGGAATTGAAAAAGATAAGAAGAAAGAAGGAAAGGAGGTAAGGGAAAAGTGTGAAGACGAAGGGAAGGTATGGAAGAATAGAGAAGAGTTGACTTTGGAGACAGTGGGAGGGAGAGGATGGGGGAAAAAGGATTCCATTTAAAACATGAAATGCTCTGAAATTAACTTTGGAGGGTTGACACTATGGTAATTGATTGACTTTGTAGAAGTTGAAACGGAAGGGTGTTATTGGAGCGTGGAATCCAGCGAAGAAAAAAGTTAAGGGGGTGGAGACACAAAAGCGGAAGTCAAACGAAGGCAAGAACCGGGAGATTGTACCGAAGGGAAACCGACACGTGGCACCTAGCTGCCGTTCTTGAGATGCGATTAAAATGTGGTCTAATATCTCGCCGTGGCGGCGCGGTGGGCCTATGCAGTGAATCCGCGGAGAGGGGGCCGTTGCGCGTAAAAGAGACAAATATCTAATGCAGGCAGCTCTTAATAAATGGCTATTAATTATTAATTCTTTAATTATTATTTTTTTTTTTGTCCTTTCCACGAAAGATGTACGAGCGTAGAGCTAGGGTATTGTAACGTTCCATCGTAAGACCGCTCTGTAGATAGTATATTATACTGACATAGATGATATACATGATATTATTAATTATATTAGATTTTTAAATATATTTAAAGATTTTAAAGATTAACCTCCTATATTTTTTATCATAATATATAATACCTGCTAGAAAATTTGAGTTCATAAATTATATATTTTACATCTCACTATTATATAAAAATTCAGCACATACAAATAAAAATAGTAAGATAAAAAAAGTTACATGAAAAATCTAAAAAGGGAAAAAAAACAACGGGATCGGACCCAAATGAAAAATTCACCATATATGAAAAATTCATGAATTATTATTTCTTTGAGTTGAAGAAAAAGATGATTATTTGTGAATAAGATGTTTAATCTTTCTTATAGGTTTTAACAAAAATCAAGTGTTTACGGATGGAAAAACTAACAAAAGGCTTGATTTTCACAATATAGAAACAACATGGTTAAATATTGTTTGAATTTTAGAGATGGTGGAGATTACTGATGATGATTGGAGACGATAATGATGATTGTCGGTGGCAATAGCTAGTAGTAGTCATTGACGGTAATGGCTAAGAAAATAAGAGAGCTCTCTAGTTCACTCTTTCTTTTTTCTCCCCATCATGTTGAGAATGAAGTTCTATTTATACGTTTTTTAAGATGTACATCTTGGTAATTTGAATCAAAATCCAAAATATCTCAACATATAGTCCATATTTTTTTTTTCAAAAAGATAATATATTGAATAAATAAGAAGAAGGTTACACAGTCAATGGAGAACAAAGAAAATGAGAAATACAATAAATAGAGGACTCAGTAAATAGCCGAGGCTCCAGTACCCCGAAACCTCGAACGGACCGTCCAGTAAGGTGAGAAATCGACCCGCCAATCAACTCGAGGAGATTCACCAAAGGTTGCCACTACAAGGTGACGAGAATACGAGCCTCAGCCACATCATAGTCCCACTCCATCGCCATGCTAAACCGAAAGAAACCATAGAAAAACAATAGGGAAAAAGATATCAATCAAAGAAAACAGATCATCTTCTTCTCCGACCCCTCCCACGTAAGCGTCCACGAGTAGCAACAGAGAAAACAGGTCTATCCCGCACCATCTTAAATTCATTACTAGGATCAGATCCCCCAAAAAAATCAGGAGAAGCACCACAATCCGAAAATTCAGACTCAGACGAAACATTGAGCCAATCCACATGGTTTCTAACATCAAAACCAGACTTAACACCCAGCTGATTAACCAAATTAATCGTATCGATCACGTTAACAGAAACATTAATGAAATTTTCAGAACCAACCGAAAGCCCATTCAAAGGTTCTATCCGGCCACAAACCTTATTACAATTTCCATTAACAACAGGAGATTCCGACGCCGGCAAACCCACATCAGCCAAATCCGCCTCACCCAAAATAGTGGACGGACCACTCACTTGCTCAAGACCAGATATAACAGTAGGCCATTCCTTCACCACATTATTCTCAGTAGGATTAGTTAATGAAACCGGAGAAGCCCCATTCACATTAACAATCCCAGTCTCAGTAACCCCCTCAGGAATAACACCAACTTCAGAAATAAAAGAGGGCGGCACACCCAAAACAACAATAGTATCATCAACTACATCATTAACAACAGTAACGCCATCCAGTCCCCCCTGAACCAAAGGGGATTCTTTATTAGCCAACTCAAATTCATAGAGAGGGGTGGAAGAGGAAGTAATAGGGTTAACAGCGGTCACAGGAGGATTAGAAATAGGGTCAGCTAGCGAGAGAGTCAAATTGACAGCAGGACGCGACTGAGGGAAAAGCTTACTACATTCCAATTTTTTATGCCCCACCGACTTACAGTGCAAACAAAAATTTGGCATACCTTCAAAAAACACTTTTTGAACATAACCAAATTTCTCTGGGCCAAGCCAAACGGATTCAGGATACGATTTTGAGATGTCGAGCTCAACAAGAATGCGTGCGATAGAAGGACGAGAGCCGACCGCCGTAGCATTGTCCGTCTGAATAGGGCGACCAAAGATCGAACCCAAACCCAAAAGAATACGGGGGGAGAAGAGATGCGGACGCAAACCGGGAAAAGAAACCCACACAGGGACGACCGGCGATTCCTCCGAAAGATCAAGATGTGGTGACCATTTAATGATTTTCATGAAACACCCAAAAACAAAATAAGAACGATGAGCGAAAATCCTCCCATAGTCAAGATCATT